AAAAAAAAAAAAAAAAAAAAAGCAAAAGCAAAAGCAAAATGAATCTGACCTACGCGGCCGGTGAAGAGGCCAATGAGCAATTCGGCGGTGGAGTAGGCGACATTGAGCGAGATCATCAAAAAGAGCCTCTTCATGTACCTGTGGCCAGACCTAACGTTTCGGAAAACGGAGAAACCGAAGGAGGAGAGAGACGATGTTCGGCGCAAGGCAGAGGGTTTATCGTCGAGCGCGGACCAGTAGAGGTGGTGGTGGTGGCCGTGCGCGGGGATGTCTATCGGCGTGTGAGGTTGTTGGAAGGAGGATTGGCGCGAAAAGGCGAATCGCCGATCGGTGGCGCCGGCGAAGCCGAAATCGCCGTTGATGGAACTGAGAGAGTCCCTAGCTTCCATGGAGGAATTGAAACTGAAACCTCCCCTGTTAGAGCAAGTACCGCGATTCAAGTCAAAGTAAACTCCGATTTTTCTTTATAATATAACTGCAAAATATGGTATGCTAACTGTGGATTGTTTTTTATTTTTATTTTCTTCACTCTCCATTTTATATTGTGAAATTGATGAGTTTATTAAAAATGAATTTAATATATATTACCATCATACCAGATAATATTATTTCTATCTCAACTTCAAAATATTATCACTCGTAACTCGTTTTAAATTATCTTTAAATATATAATTTTTAAAAATATTTTTGATAAAAAAAATTAAAACATTATCTTTAAATAATAGTCTTTAAAAATGAGTAAACATCTAATTTGGTTCATGAAAGATGGTAAAGATGATCAATAGGTCTTTGAAAGAATTTTATTTTTTGCATCTAAGTTCTTAAACTTTGACTCTATTATGCAAATTAGTTTTTTCATCACACTTAGTTACTAACTCTACTAATTTCATGATTAATTGTCACATTGACACTTATTATCTCTCAATTGTTTGTTCTCTTTCCTAATCACCTAATATGGATTATAATGCAAGGTTTTGATAACTTTTTAATGAGCAACGGACAATTTGTCATGTTTAGATATTTTGATCATAATTGCTCTAGTTAAATGAAATGTTAATGTTGGATTTTGTAGGATTTCTTGTAATTGGATTTTTTTGTCTCAATCATCCTTAATTTCTTCGTTTATTTTGGTTACATGTTTAAGATTGAATTGTAAACACTAAATTATTAAATTTGAGATTTAACAAAATGAGTGATCGTTTTAAAAAAAAATTCAAGAATGCATTAACCAAATATGGGTATTTCTATTATGTTTAATAAATTGCAAAACTCTTATAATAAAAGTAAGGAAGAGCTTAGTGGTAATAGTTCTATCTGTTACCGTGGAAATAGATTTTATTAAAAGTTTCACTAACAACCAAAAAAATCGAGGGAATTTTTTTTTCAATTGTCCTTTGTCAAGGGTATGATAGTTATGTAATTGATGTTTCTCTTCTCTTTTTTTGTCTTTCTTCCTCTTAATAGTCTAACATTCCAGTTATTTTTATGGTGTAGGATCATTTAAGCAACTACAATTTCCTTACTTTAGCAAATGGACACATTGAATAGAGCTCAAGGAATGTGTTAGAAATAGAGTATATTACAATGGAACAAATGTGAAAAACTAAAATGTTTCTTAGAAGAAATGCCTTAGTGATGGAATTAAAAATGTTGAAGGTTATGATGTTTTTTATCTATGTAATCGTTATAATTGTAGGTTTAACATGTTATGTAAGTAGCATAGTTGTACTGAAATGTAAATGGCATGACTTGTAGTATTGAAAAATTGGAGTACCATGAGTTTTATGCTTTTTATGTTATGTAATTAAATTTAAGTGTATTTGTTAGCTTGAAAGATGTAACCAGATGAGAATTATAAGTGTTGGCCATAATTACATACACATTAAAGAACATGAGTTTCATATGTTTTTGAAAAATTTGAGCTCACATTACATAATAATGGGACCCAACATAACATAATAACATAAATTAAAATTTGAGCTCAAATTACCTACTAACAAAACCAAAAGAAAAAAACAATTGTGATGGTGGAGCACAAGAGTAAGTAAATGAGTTTTACATATCTCACATATTAGTTTTGCGGGTGAAATAGAATATAAGAATAAGAGTGATGGGGAGAAATAACTCATTCAAACGACACTTCAATTATTTTTAAATTAAATAAAAATTAAATATTATTTTATCACGTATTTAAATCTATTTAATTTGTAACAGTTGCATCACAACTAAGAGAGAGTATGTGTCAACATAGCAACTGTTGATCGCTATTAGAGTCTGTAATTAATTATAACAAAATGAATAGCTTAAATAACGAAGTTAAATTTTAGGAACCCAAATGTTGCAAAAAAATCTTCCAGGGAGTCATCGATCACCTCTACCATTTTTTATTGATCATATTGAGTGTTTGCTCCTCTAAAATTATTTTTTTTAATATAATTATTTTAATTTATATATACAAAGGATGTGGTTGATGTAAATTTATTCTTCATCAAAGAAAAAATAAAAATGTTATCAATCCTTCATTTATTTTGATTTTTCTTATATGACTATTTTTTTGTTAAAATTGTGTAACTTTATAGAAATTAAGAACGAGGACTCAATGTAATATACTGAGGGCATTTGTTTTGAGTTATCTTACAATAATTCCAATAATACATGGATAAGAATGTATTTTCTCATGTCGTTACAAGGTTACAAATTTTATTCATGTGTATAAAATATCATAGGGGATGAAATGACTTTCATATTCCCATAGATTTATTCCCAAGGGAAGAAGTAAGGGTGACAAGTAAACTCGTAATCGTGAATCCGTCCCAACTTTGATGAAAATACCTAATTTGACAAGTGTGAGTATAAGTACAGGTAATATCTGATTTATTGAATCGGCTACGATGACGAAATGAGTCTATATATACTCATCTCATATTCACATCCGTACCCACTTTAAATTTCTAAAAACTTATTTATTTTAGAATTGACTTGACATGTATGTAATTCTTACTCTATTTTATATTTATTTCAACTGAAACTTAATTAATATAATTTTGTAATTATTACTCTATGTTAAAAATTTATGTACCAGACAAGGACAAATATACCAAATATTCAACAAGAACAAAGATGAAACACAAATTTCATACTCATTAATTATGGAGACAGAGATAACTGAAACTTAATTAATATAATTTTGTAATTATTACTCTATGTTAAAAATTTATGTACCAGACAAGGACAAATATACCAAATATTCAACAAGAACAAAGATGAAACACAAATTTCATACTCATTAATTATGGAGACAGAGATGATTATAAGGTATAAAAATAAAGACAAAGACAAAAATATTGAAACTTATACGCATTTTGCCCCATTGTCATGCCTAGGAAGAAGTGGGTAACTTGATTCCTATGATGTGGCAATTAAAGCTTTCATCTTTATGCATTTAACTTTCTTGATACACTCATAAAAAAACATTTTAGCCATTAATCAAACACACTTTTTTAAGTATGTTCAACAATGTCATTCCAATCATTTATATTCTTGAGAATATTATTTTGGTAATGAAAGATAATAACCTGAAACAAATACCTCGTAATGATAGGAAATAATAAAAATATCATGTAATAAAAAAAATCTATATTTTTATATTGTAAGACAAAAAAAACCTTACATTAAAAAAACTATTCTTCTGCATGTAATTTTTATGGAAAAATTATTTGTCACATTTCATTCTTTAATTATGAAAACTTCGCATACATATATAGTTCATATTTTTTCCCTTTCTATACAACTAAACAAAAAGATAAAAAAAAAAAATCTTTCATTTTCCCTCTTATTAAGAGATCTAAAAAAAATTCTTACTTTCCAATTTCTAGTCTTTTTCTTTCCTTCACTTCCCTTACACAACAGAGGCTTTCGGCTATTCCATTTAGTTGAAAACACGACTCAAAGGCACCAGGTTTCCATTTAATTTTGTGCCTGGATATTTTAGTACCTTTCCCTTGCTGTTTTAAAAAAAACTACATAGAACTGCTCCCGGTGGAGGTGTTTCGAGCCCCAATGTCTGCTACTTCGTTTGCTTCACGCGGGATGTATGCAACATGACACGTCCAGTTTCGTTGCATGATATCATAAACTTCTCGTAACTATGGAGAGCAACAGTGGCCCCCTTCCAATCGGATACAAAATCCATATTATCATATTCACATATCAAATGACTGATATCCGACTCCCATAGCTCGCCAAAAGCCCATTTGAAAAATATATTGTTCCTAATCACAAATGTCATTGCGTCAAGAGACTAAAGGAAAGCTATATTTATTGATTAAAAAAAGAATGACACTCACGAAAAATTCCCTCTGCCACAGCCAACGCTCTAGGTTTCTAAATCTCAAAAATACCTAAAAGTTGCCTACACACAAGAACAAGATGTAGCCAAATTGGGCTGGACCCTAAGACATTGCCTCCAGTGCACACTCAATCTTGGACTGGCCTCGGTATACAAGAGAATAAATGTGCAGTTACGAGAATAAAAGTATACAAAATTGGTTTTAACTTTTAATTAAAAATCACCAACTTCTAGTACTAAAAATGGAGCTTTGAGTTAAAGATTGTGCCATTGCCTTGGGCATGTTACCGTACTGCATCAAACATGTTAAACAAAGTGGCACCAAGAGTGTCTGGTTTTGAAAAAGGGAAATTTTTCAAAATGAATTTCATTTACATCAATGAATGTTTATGATTACAATTCCAATTTCAATGCAGATCGCAAAACAAGTATCAATCTTTCTTCTACAATGGCAACTACCTACCAATGAGATACGGTAGATCCAAAAGAGCAATTGAGGAATTCGACGGTAATCATGACCCATGGCAATCTTTTTTGAATTGGAACACTGCTCATTTATCTTGTGAGAATGTTAATTTAAGCTTGTGACAACGATGAATTCAAGCTAGTAAGACTCGAAAGTTCTTGCAGAAGACATGCAATCTTCTAGCTGACCGAATAAAATTTTCTTTTACCTACAATTTTCTGATACTCCACTGTAACAAGCACAATGTTGAAAAAATCATGATCATAGATGTATTATTGGTGAATTGTGATGGAAGATTAGTACGAATGATGCAAAGAGTTATGCTGTACCTTCCTACAACTTCCTCTTAAATTTAAATACAGTAGAAGTATCAAATATAAAACAAATGCATTTAATATCTTAAATATATATATATAAATAGGTTAAATTATACTTTTGATACTTTATCTTATTTTAGATTAATTTTAGTCTTTTATTTATTAAAATATTCATTTTAGTTACCTATCTTTTATATTTGGATCGATTTGGTCTTTTCAAAAAATGATCATTTTCAATTTTTCGACATGATTTTGAATCAATTTTTGATTGATTTAAAACATGAAACTTGTAACATTAAATTTACCTATATGAAAATTATAAAATTGAATTGACGCTCAAATCCAAAAGAGTTATAAAAATGAGAATCATATGAAAAAATATATCACATGAACAACTAGAAAATAATATGAAATTAAATTGTTTATATTTTCAATTGTTTTTTAGACGTATTTTTATGTGATTATATACCATGCTTATGACACTTTGGTTTGAATTGCATTCGTGCTCAATAGTTTTCACATAATTGAATCTAACGAGATGCGTTTTAAGTTTAAAATCAGTCAAAATGATTTAAAATTGTGTCTCAAAAGTGAAAATAATCAATGTTTTAAAGGGACCAAATTTACTTAATAATTAGGAACATTATTAGGAGGCAGTTGTAAGGTGACTTGTATTATTTTGATTCCATAGAGTGTTATGTTAGGTCTTTATGGGGTGATAATTGACAATTAGACGTATATGATGATATATAGTTCTTTCTGTTCTTTATTTATTTTTCCCCCCTTGAGATATGCCATGAGAGACTGACTCACCTGATTATCATGACTCATGAATGCATATGTTGATCCAGTGTATAGGCATAAATATCAGAAGGACTTGTACCCGGCCTAACAACAAACATCAAGATAAAATTATATAGCATGAGTAAGTACAAAGGTCTAGGAAGCCAAGAATCAGAAATATTCCAGAAAAATACATTGATTTCATCAGTTAGCATTTGCACAAAGCATGACAGTTGCAGGTGCAAACTCGATCTCACATAAAGAGTATCTTTCTCCTGTCCTAAGCAATTTATGACAAATGCTTGGGGCACTAATTAAATCAACAGTAGAAACTTTTTATTGAAAAGTATTGTTAATACCCTCTCATCATGATTTTAAATGCACTCTCAGCAAAATTTCCAATATAAATTTTCTATTTATTGATTTCATAATTATTACCGTAAACACTTGTTAGCAAGATCCTTAACTTATATATCATGCATTTTGCTAACATTTATTCCATGACAGACTGGATCTGAACAGTAATGAAACTAGTAACCAATGACATGTATGTGGTCCACCCAGTTAACAGATTTCCTAACTCCTAAACAAAAGTACAATTACTTTCACATACAAAATAATTTCCTGCCCTCAAACCAGACAATGCATTTGATTTAGGGAAAATAACCTGTGTGCGTCGGAAGAAAATACCTTTTGTTAATAGTTCCGTAATGGAATTTGAGCTTTCCAGCCTTAATATCCTCAACATACTGTGACCATGAGAAATAACGTAAGTTACAGTACGAGCAGACGTCATAATAAAACCCAAAGCCAGCATGCTTAAATATCTGATTCCGAATCATACCAAACTTAAGGTAACCACCATTGATGAAAAGGATAGAGAATTAAAAGGTATATCATCAAGTGGAAACAGTTGACAAGCTGATGATTCTGGACCAGGAGAAAAATGGGGCTTCTTCAGCTTTGCTAAGAATATCATATAAGTCTGCCTCAAACATTCCATAATCAAGTATCAAAATTCTCTGCCTAGTCAATGAAATCAACCAAAGAAAAATAATAATAATAATAAAGAAATAAGTCAAAGCTTCTTTCTCACTTGGCCAATTAACGGAATATCCAATTGAGCAAATGGAGAAATTACTTCTACATCTGCATTTGCTTCTTCCCTTGTTTCCCTGATGGCACCTTCCACAGCCGACTCTCCAATTTCCAAATAACCAGCAGGAAGGGTCCTAGTTGATGCCAAAATATGAAATTAACATAGCTCATTGATGACAAGGGATGCAATATTTATCTTTATAAAAAAAAATATTAGCAATAGCATCATGGTTTTATAATTAGTTCTGGGAACAGGAAGGTAACATGTACATAACCAGAAAAAACAAAATTAGGCAGTTTAATTATAAAAAAAATCCATTCCTACCAAAGGCCATGAGATGGTTGTATACTCCTCTTGCAAAGGAGGACCTTGTTATCATGTTCAATGAGGCAGCCAACTACCTACTTTGCCATCCAAAACCGTGTAAGGTTTGGAAGAAAATAATTAGTCATGTATCATCAACTGATGGAGTGAAATAAGTGCAATGACAAACAGCACACAAAGGTTAGAGAATCTCGAAAACACATATATGACACAAGACAAGGAGATATGAAAAAATTTAAAATTATCCCAAAATTACTAAGAAAATAATATAAAAGCATAAATCTTAAATCAAGAGAGAAAAGTGATTTTCAAAAGTTAGCATGAGTCACTGTAGACATAATGAAATATTATCATTTTATCTAATTATAATGTAATTATAAAAGTTCAAAAAACAGAAGTAAAGGATTATTAAATGCAGTAGGAGTTTCTGAAGAGCACAGCATTAATATATCTAAATACATACAATACTCGTCCAAATCCTCATTTGTTTTACATTTTCATCAACTATTTTGTGAAAAGAAAAATTACTTTAATAAATGAGTTAAAGGCACACCAATTTAAAGCATGCTATATGTAGATACCTGAACCTCCATATCCATTTCAGTATCAACTTCATGTATCATATACCAATTATTTAAAAAAATATCCTTATCTTAAAGCTGATACCATAAATCCGTAGTAGATCAATGAATTCTGGGGGAAAAATCAAGATCACTCACACTTCCTTTTTTCTCAATCTCTTCCCACAGTACATCTTAAAACTCCAGTAAAAGTCATAACGAGAAACATTGGTTTCTAAGTTATATTGCATGTGCACTGTATTGTATTGTATACCATAAACCAACCACAAAAATCATTCATATTGTGGATTGAAGTTTAGGTTATCCACACATATCTCTTCTATTCTCCAGTTACTTACAATTGAAGCCACAAACAACTTCCTCAAAAAAACTTCAGTAGAAAACAATTATTTTTTAATAATAATAAAAAAGAAAAATTATTAGGAAAGAGAAAGAAATAGATTACTTCTAATGCAGAGTAACCTTCATACTTGTTACGGCACACAAAAGTCCTGATCCAAATGTAAGAGTGAACAAGATAATCCAGCACATGACAAATGAAAGAACAAGTAAAACCAGTTTCATGATGCAGAAACGAGTAATAGATTTCCTGCACAACCGTCATCTTGCAAGTCACACACACCTTACACTCCATTTAAAAACAGTTGCACAGAAACACAGTTTTGTAAATCAATTCGCACACACTCAAATGAAATTACTTCGGAACACACAAAAACACCCGTTATCACTTCACCATAAGCACTAAATCAAATAAACCAGAAGCAATACAGAGATATTTCGAGACAGTCACCATCTTCGGATTCTGATACGCAATCCTCCCACAAACCGTGCATATGCCTCTCAACTTTTCTTCCCCCTCGGGAATATCATGCTTCGTGGAACCACCACACCACTGACAGAACTTGATGTTTCGAACATTTCCCTACAGTGTCACGATCAATAGCGTTTCAGCGAACCGTTAAGATCCACAATTGTAACATTTCAGCGTTGTACCAAACAATATCTACAATGCAGTTACGAAATTAACATAGGGAATATGCGAGAAAACTCACGGCAGAAGGAAGCGGCGACGAGGAAGCGTGAAATGGCGCGAATCGAACCCTGCGAGGGACGGTGTTGGTGGGAAGAAGTTTGAAATAAGGGTTAGGATATGGAATTGGGGGAAATGAGGAGAAGGATGAGACTATGCGGGGTTTGAAACTCCATCGTTGACTAACCAATCCACATGTCTGAAGTTGGATTGCTTTCACCATCATTTTTCTTTATTCTTCTGCTTCGCGATAGGAATTGGAACAAACAACCGCAATATTATTATTATAAACAACAAAACCCTTTTCAGTTTTCACTGTGCCCTTCTCAAATTCGAATCGCCCAATTTAACGAGCAAAAGAACCACTCTCTTCTTTCCCCCCTTTTCTTAATCTGAAGTCTTCTCTAACGATAAGAGACCTAAATCTCCGTAGTTAAAAAAAATGTTGTTACAGTAATGAGTTTTCTCTTCAACCTTGCGATAAAAATCATTTTGTTAAAATAAAAAATATTACTATTGTCTACTACATGCACAAAGTGTGATCAAATATACGATGAAATAATTCAAATCTTCAGTGTTGGATGATGAAGCATTTTATGCATGAGAAGTAGCACATACACATGAACATGAACACGTATCTTTCTCTAATTTTACTTCATTTTCTTCCAATCCTAAGCAACCTATTTGAGACTTTGACTAAACTTTTAAACCTACAAATTTTGTTCACCTTGTGAGCTTAATGGTGGAAAATACTTTATATTAAATAATTCTTTATGTACATAAAACTCTCTTCAACAAGACCGTTACTTATTAGATTTTTCATTTTTCATTTTTCTACTTTTTCGATTCGATGTTTGCAATTTACAATAGACTTAGTTTATGAACACTTACTCAAATGTAGAAAAATGTAACGATTATAGTTGACTATTTGAACACCAATAGGAGATTCTGAATATAATCAGCTGATTAATGTGGGAAAAAAATGTAAATTACGAACATGTACAATTGTACAAATACATTACAGAGACAATAAATGGTACATTTGTAATTGTAAAATAGCATAAACATTATTTCCTTGGTTATCAAATAAAATTGCTCAAAACTACAAAATACAATGAATGCAAGCAGGATTGAGGTGTTAAATAATTCAGCACGGTCAAGCATCTGGTATGAGCTGGTTGGAGACTTCTAGAAAAGGATTAGAATGTCTAAAGGATCCTTAATCCAACGCCAGCTTATCACATAAAGATTGATAAGCTGCACTGCAATGCTTGAACTTCTCTTCTGCCATAGCCTATCAAGTATAAACATACAGAATCAAAAATAGATAGAATTAGGAAGCTCTGCAACTAATGACAGAGCGTATTTGGAAAAAAGTTAACTTGTAAGCCACATTAACTTCAAAGCAAACTGTCTTGTTGGTTTTGCATTTCATACGTCGGAAAGTACAAACTCCCGTTTTGAAACTTTGAAACAGTAAACCAAACATGCTGAAAAACTTCTAAATCCCTAAGCCTTAAATTTAAAACTTTGAAAAGGTAAACCAAACATGCTGAGAAACTCCTGTACAAGGAATAGAACTAAAAAGGAGGAGGCATATAATCGGTCGTTAGAGCTTGGCAGTACCTTGGAAGAACCTTGATGACGATCTGGATGCCATTTTAGAGCACAGACCCGGTAGCTGATGATATAAAAACTAAAAGGTTAAAAATATCACAGTAAAGAACTCTGGCTACCTAACATTTTGGTAGAGGGATTGGAAGAAGTAAGAACTCACGCATTTTTTACATCTTCAAGTTTAAGGGGACCAGAAGCATTCAATCCGAGGGCTAATCTATCAGGAACTAAATCTGAATCAGAACTATCAGTTTCGGATGAAGAGTCATAATCATTTTCATTCCGATATCTCCAGTTCCAAGATTTCTCAAAATTAGAAAAGCGTTCAGACCTCCTCCACTGAGGATTTTCGTCATTGATGAAGGACCAATAGAAGAATCTATTCCCACCAAAGGCAGAACGGAAAATGGTTTCAACATCAAAATCATCTTCACAAAACAAAGGATCTCCTGAAAGAAATCAAGTTTATTACCAACTTACCATTAATACGTTTTACTCCTGAATATACCTTATTGGCATCTAGAATCTTGTATCTTTTGTTTAAAATAATAAAAACAACGTAAAAAATAATAAATTTAAGAAAGCTTATGATGCAAGTTTAAATCTTTCAAAACTATTTGTGTAGACATGAAGTTCCCAAACAAGATTAAGTTGGATGATTTCCTAGAGATACAACCTCCAATAAAGACAGCTGGTACTACAAGATACATGATATCATATATTCTGTTACGGGAAAAGTAGTTCAAGCATCCTTACTTTTGTACTGATGACTTGATCCTTGATTGCCATTCCTGTACCTTTTAGAGCCCCCACCAGAATATTGTTTTTTAAACCATGAGGTGCCTCGACTTGATGATGGATCTTCCTTGTCAGTATCTTCCTTCCAGCTCTAAAACAAGCAGAAAAAGAGCAACCATAAGCATCAGAAGTTCGGAACATCTTAAGACAAACAAAATCACAGAAGACAAAGGGATTAAGTCTGTTTCTTAGTTAACTGGTTAACAAAGAATTTTATTTATTAATTTATTTTACAAGGAAACTGCAAGAGGGTCATTTTTATATCAAAGTGAGAGGAGTAAATATTGCCCATAAAAGCATACCTAAACGGTCAAGTCAAGATTGAAGACTACTTAAAGTTGCATGCATTGCATGGCCTAATAAAAAAAAATTAACATCACCTTTATGTTTTATTTTTGAACATTAAAAATAAAATTAATGGTCAATATTTATTTCTCTCGTGTAAAAACCATTCTCACTTGATGTGTGTGTGCATACATGCTATATATATAAAAGCTTCCCGCTTGGATGGCAGCATTGAAATGCAGAATGATCTAGGCCATGGCTTCACCAAATGTTGCAGCTCCCAAGAGACACAGGATCCCCAAAAAAAATGGTAATAGCGGATGATTAGGAAAAACGTTATATCTCTGACCTGTGTTTTAATTTTAACTTTAGTTAAAGGGATTCTCATTGGCCATTACTTGTACCATTAAAATGGGGTGGTGAGCAATTGTTTCACAAGTATTGGGGTTGAGTCATGGATAAGAGTCTCCCGTGTCCCATCAAATAAAATACGAAGTTCAATGTGGCACTTAAGTAATAAAGCTCTCCCATTTAATAGACTAGTCTTTTGATCTGAACTTTCCCAACATGCTTAAGTCATAACAATTGGTGTTTTCATTGAGAATTAGCCTATAGAAATGACTATCCATAGATTAGATTAAAGTGCAATATACTATAATACTTATAGATGAGTGAAGTCACCACTATAAGAATTAAGAAGGGGCTATCATTAGGTCAACGTCAATAGTCATCAACATCAACTCTTAAAAGAGAAGACAATGTAATGAGTCTCACATTAAGTAGAATAAGAAGAGCTCAATATGGTACTTAAGCCCCATGAGACTCTTCTATCAAATGAATTAGGTTTTTGGGTTGGGCACTATTCATGCGTTCAAGTTATAGCAGTCAATTAGTAAAGCCTCAAGCGGAGTTTCTGTTATTTAGCTTAAAGAAAAAATGGGTTTTATATAACTAGTTCAAGTTATTCTTCATAAGTATTCACTTTAGGATTGCAAAAATTATGTTCAGGGCTGGAATCTTCTTTAAATATCAGAAAAGTAACCATTAATCATTAAGCTGATGACAAAATCACAATCAAAGTCCAAAAATGCTAATAATGAAATGAATAATTGATACAACTATATGAATTCAAATTCATCAAGAATATTTGTTTTGTATAGTTTAAACCATTGAGTTCTCCAGTCCCAAAAATGACTAATTTGAAGACTTCATCCCTCTCTTAAATTTGGATCTAGAGGGTGAGCATTGGCAAATCTTAGACAGTAATTCAGTTTTTCCAGTTGAAGCACAATATGGAAAATATCATGTTCACACTTCCAAGTTCAATTAGCTTGTTTATAAATGCTACACCATTTTACAAATAATTAATAGTCTTTTTGTCAGATATCAAAGCATAGGCATGGTAGCATATGATAAAGAGATACTATGGTATGGAGACAACCATGAAAAAGCATTTCCAGACATCATATCACCATTTTCTTTTATCTTCTTTTTTCATGAATAGCAAGTTTTTTTTAACTTCAAAGTCAACTAAGGAGAAATCAAATCTTAGTACTCTGAATGTAGGACCCTCCAAGATCGTACAAGAGCACCAAAAATAGTTCCTGTGGTGGAGGCTCAAACAGCATGTTCCATATCGGCAGGCAGCCATGCTCCACAGCCAGGTTTTAATTTAGCCAATCAACTCATGAATTAGCCTTTTGGATAAATATGAAGATTACAAAGCTCCCACTTCCACGCAAGCGTATACGTTAGGTGAGAAAAAGGTAGTAGATACACCATTGCGGTTGTCTCATACATGATATGGCCACCAGCACTAAGGACTTAAACTATACCTCAATCCTAATAAACGTGTACAAACACCAGTCTCAAGCCTTTACAAACAACAACATTTTGCTTTGAAGGAGGAAGAAATTCCCAACCTGCATCTAAAACCCTTTAGCCAACCAACTACCCTGTTCATCACTTGGCAAATCCCCACCGCCACCTTCCTCAGGATACCACTGCAAGCACCCATTCGTGTTGAGATTGACTTCCCTTTCAAGAACCCAAAGGTAGAGTTGCGTGCAGTTCCAGCCGCAACACCTCTACAATAGGACCGGGGGAACAAGTCAAACCCCTCTTAAACAAAGTTATATTTCTCCGGGTCAACTAAGATCAGAAAAAAGTTTCTGTCCAGAACCATTCTACTCCAAAAACATAACACAAAGATTCAGCCCATCTAGACAGACTGTAGCAGCAGGTCCTAAATGCTAAATACAAGGTTGTTCATCACCAACATTATTTCTTCTAAAATAAAAAGTGAAGCATAGATAATGCCAAGAATGTAAAGACTGTTTCAGACTTTCAATCAATAACAATTGGAAAGAAACCATGACAAAACTCATTGGACTACCTCATCAAGCAAAACAATATATTAGATGTTAACAAAAAAGAAAGCAAAATAAAAATACAAGAAATTGCAACGGACGCGCACCACACGAGACAGAGAAGAAGCATTACGAACCTGAAACAGGAATTCTGCATAATCGTTGACACTCTGCATTACTCTGTGTTTTGCTTGCATCCTTCTAAACCTTCTGGAGTAATGGTTATTGCCTCTCTACAATAAAACAATTATTCAAACAACGCTTTACACGCAACAAAACGACATCGAACTCCCATATCTTCCCATTACGCAATAAACAAATAAAAAAATAACATTTTTGGGTTACAAACAGTTCCCAAATTGCAATAAACTGATACAAAATCATAAAGAAACGCGGAATTGGAATGGTGAGACCCACTATGAAAAGACACATTGATTTTGATTCTATTAATTGATAGAATAACAAGTAGTTGAATGGAATGAAATGAGAAGATAAAGCAAAGGGGATTGAGAGAAACTAACGGAGTCCCAATAATTGCGCCTTTTGCGTTGCAAGGGAGGAGTGGAATGGAAGAGTGCGGCCCTGAGAGAGGAATGGAGATTGTTGCTGTTTGCCGCTTTGAAGATGGCGCTGCTCATTTTCTCTGCAATTCGAGTCCTTTGCCCAACCTCGACCGACCTTCTTTAACCGGCAACCAGAATTAGGATCATCTATGTTAGACCTAGACACAATCAGAATGGTCATTAGTCATTAGTCATTGTACACCATAAACCATTTTAATGGTTTTTACTTTATTTTTTATGAAAATCGAACTTGGAATAAAATTTAAAAAAAAAATTACAATTCACACGTAATGTCAACAAATGTGAAAAATTTTTATAAAAAAAGGGTTAAGAGATTTTATTAAAGGGACGAATCGAATTATTCTAATATAAGTTTTATAACTATTATATTATTTAATAATTTTATATAAAAATATTTGTTGTGCATTTAACTATTAAATTATAATTTTATATTATTTTAAATATTTATGTCAAATTTTATTAAATATAAGTAATGTATTAAATTCTAAAAGTATATGTAGTGTTAGTTCACATGTGTATTGAGATTCTCTATAAGTGAGTGGGTTTAGCTTTAAAAGGAATTACTTTTCCGAGATTTCTTAAGAAGAGACTTATATATCTTGAGAAAAGTTTTTAGAAGGGAAGTCAAACTCTTCTTCCCCTTTCCTCTTTAAATCTCTCTTTCTCTCTTAGTAGTTGATCCATTTTGCGAAACTTGTGATTTAAAGCCCAAAGTCAATCATTTCAAGTGAGAAATGGGGTGAATTTGGTTGGAGCTATCGTTTTCTTCTCTCCTTTTTCGTGCAGATAGTCGAGAGATAAGGGAAGCTTTATGGTTATCTTGATTGGAATGCATGTTGTTCTTAATGGTGAAATTGTGTTGTTGGTATGCTTAATTCTTCTTGGGGTGGGTGTTGTGTTCTTGATGTTCTTGGTGAAGAAGGGGAGGTTTGATGATGGCAGATTGATGTGTTGTTGGTACATGTTTCAGTTTCTTCAATTTTATGAGTTGCATGTTGTTGTAACCGTAAGATTCAAAGTTGCATGCATGTTTTAGGTTTGAGTTTAGAGGATTTGAAGTTGTTATTGAGATTGCTATTTTTTCTCAAAGTCATGCATGTTTTTTGGGTTTAGGTCGCTTAGAGTGTCCACGGGGTCGCTTCAAGCGAGCCTGGGTGATTGTTCAAAAATACTCTTTGACTTGCATTGCTTAGAGCGACAAAATTCGCTCTGAGCGAGTTTTTAGGTGCTTTTAGTGAATCTCGCTTAAGCAAAAGATTGACTTGTTTAAGTGATTAGATGATGGAATTTGTTTTTGTAGCCTTCATAAAAGTTGTAGTCTTGAATGTTAGTTTTTTAATGACTTTAAAATCACCTAAAAATGAGGTTTATAACTCTATGATTTTTTTAATGATTAAAGGAAGTTGTTAGCATTCATATAAATTATTGCAATTTTTTGTGATTTTCAGTATAATAGATGGCAGAATTAGGACTTGAAGTCTTCATAAGAGTTATAGATAATCTTTTTTTATCTTTCGACATCTATCGCAAAAAGGGTTAATGAGATTTTGAAAGTAATGAGAAAAAAAAGGATTTTAGGATTTCGAGATACAAGATTACAACTAAACAAATTTAATCTTAAAAACTCTTTTTATGAAAATGACATGAAATTCGTTTCACCTATCTTCTTGACATAATCAAAAACATCGAATTTTTGTTCTTAAGGACTTAGGGTGTGTTTGTTTTGTAGTTATGTTTAATGTAACCCATAAACAACACACTACTTGCTTTGAATTTTTTTTTTTTTTTTTTGCATTGGAAAGATGAAAAAGTCCATTCAACTAGTGTTGAATGATTTCCCAAACACACACTTAGAGATTTGCTCGTTTTTCAAGTAAGAAGTCATTACGATGGCATCTCTCCATGGGATTGATATGTCTCTTTGATTTTTCAATAACCATTGCAAACTAGGTTAAGGAGATTTTGAATCCAAAAAAAGGAAAATGGAGGTTTTTAAGGTTCTGATAGTCCAAAGTGAGTAAAGAAGTTTAATCTATAAAAAAAAAATCTAAAGAGATAGGTAAATTTTGAATTTGAAACATTGTGAAGGAGAAAAACTTATATGTAAGGTAATATGATCTAGATGAACTATAATTGTCTATTAACACTTATTTCTTATAAGTTTGGTACACATTTTTACAATAAGAGAGAAACGACTAAAAATAAAAAAAAAATTTAAACAATATAATCTAAAAGTATTAGCTTCACATCCATTTACAAGAGTTAAAAACTTAATTAGTCATGAATAATACTAATGAAATAAGAGAAATATACAAGACAAATGATGTGAGACAATATGTGTATATAATTTGTTTTTCCTTTAAAATGTTATTACTTAAAATCCCCAGCAAAGATCATTCTTAATAACTTATCATTATAATAAAATACTTTCTTGAAGAAATATTGGTCTTAATAAATCCAAGTCATTTTACAAGACATTGGCTCCATAATAAACCATGAAACATAACAAAGTCTCACCTTACTAAAAATTTCCTCTAGTGCATTATTATGTTATTGTAATACATAAGACATTCTTATATATTTACATTATTGGAATTTAATAATTATACATTTGAGTTTCACATAAGGAAATAATAGATCATGATATTAAAACCTAATCTACCTTATTTTATATAAGAAAAGATTAAGACTCAGAGCGGTGACTTAATGAAAATTCAAAATACTCAGTTGACCCATGAAGCAACCTATAAGGATCCTCTTATTTCTCTTAAAATGTTACTCGTGTTGACAACACTTGTCAAAACTTTTCCATTCTCTCCAATTTGTTCGCATAGAGCCATTCATATAGATATGATAAATAAAGGTGTACAAAACGAGACTCCCTCTTTCACTAAACTAGCAACCAAATGACCTTTTGGTCACAAGTACACAAACATCAACTACCTCTAAGTGATACTCTCACAAGACTCACTCATAACTTTAACACATTTTAAATTAGTCTTTAACTTATCACATATCAAGTTTGTTGTCACTATAACTCACAAAATTCATTAAACTTACATAATTTAAGTCATATGGTTGTTGTAGAAACATTTAAAACAACAATAATTACTCCTTCTATTTTTTATTATAATACATAATTTAAAAGAAATTATTGATTTTTTTATAAGGCATCTTGTAGTTTATAAAAAGCATTAAATTATTATTTTGTCTTTATTTGCCCTTATCAAAGATTGTGAGAATATGTGTTTTTTTACCCTTTCACTTCTTAAACTCTCTTTAATTGACATATATTATTTTTGTTGGTATTGATGCATAAGTTTTAATATGAGATAATATCTTTAGTTCTCTCATGAAAGTTTAATGACAATTAAGAAAGGTAAAATTTGTAAATCATGATTTTATTTTACAAAACCAACAAAATCAACTAACTTAACTATTTATACTAGTCCATGTGATTTGGTTAAAAGTGTTTTATAACGAGGCAGAGAATATATAAATACAAGTTTTATTTTCCTTTATAAGAAAACTAGAAAAAAAAAATGTTACACCGTGTTGTGACCACTAACAAAGACTAACCCAAAGGATTGTTACACAAATCTAAACTACAAGTACTAATCTCACCCAATTGCATTACTCAATTAGCTTTTAGACGCTAAGGAGTCTCATTGGAGATAGTTGCCCTTTAAGTAATAAAAATGGTGCGAGGGAGATTCAATCTCATACTTGTGAAAAAAAGTGAAAGTTTGTACCAAATCCTTAACTAACGATCTTGACTTGCATTGACTTTAGGAAGTTACAATAACAATGGACAAAACTAAGGAACTCATTTGATTATATTTTTTTGGATGAAAAGAAAAATAAAAAATGAGTAAAGATGATATAAGTAAAAAAATAACAAAAGTTGACAAATATTTTTTTCCAACTAACTTTTTATTTATTTATTATCAAACCTCAATCCTTATAACTCATTGATTTCTATATGACAAAATGGCATCTCCAATTGTGAATCTATGTCCAAGTTAAGAATTGAATCATAGTCCTTAATTAAAAAATACAAGTGTCATTGTTTGAATTAACAACTTTTGATTATCTAATCATTTAAATAAGTATGAAAGAATAAAAAAATATGAAAAATATTTTATAACAATTAAGAATTACTTTTTCTAGTAAAAAAATAAATCTAGCTCCCTAAATTAAACTTTTTTACTTCATTTTCTTTACTGATGAACATTTTTCTATGAAATGTTTCACCTACTTCGATACCAATTTTGAGATTTTTTTTATCTTATTTTTCTCTATTTCTAAAAAAAAAATATTTTTATCCTATTTCACTTCTCTCTATTTCATTCATTTATATTTACAAAAGAACACGAACTTAAAAATCTTATATTGTACAGAAAACAAGTCAATTTTATTTTTGTTTACGGAACAAATTAAAATCTAACATCACATATAAGCAGTGACGGATCCATAAATTTTAGATAGTGGGGGCAATACTTATTTATATATTTGTAGTATTAAAAATTTACATATAACTTTTAAAAGCATAAATATATATTATAATTATTTTTTTTACAAGTTTTTATATCTACGATTACAAGTAAAGATGAAAATAAATTAGACTAGACTAAATTTTATTATAATTTAATAAGTTTGAACATAATTTTCTTTAAAAATATATATCCTAAATATGACTTATTTATTTATCATAGACAATTTTTAAATGTTTGGTTATAGAACTACAATCCTAAAGACCTATTTTATAATAATTTAACACTATTAAAAATATAAAATAAATATGTTAAATTTTATAAAAATCAAGTTTAATTTATTTATGATATAAACATATTTTTAATATCTAATATATATTTTTAGATAATAATTTATTTTAAAATATATTTTATATAACAATTTTAAATGGAACATAAATCTTCTGATTTTTCTTATTTTAATTTTTTTAATCAACATATACAATAACTAGAAAACGCAAAAGGTAAACATGCATACTGTAAATTTCATTTTTATCAAAAATTGATTTTTTTAATATATTAAATTATATATGTGAGTATTAATATATATATATGAGTTAATCACCTATACACTGTCAGTATAAAGTTTTTTTACACCGATAATCAATTATATCTTTTAGTTGTGTCATGTCACTGTAAACACATTTATT